TCTTTCTTTCTTATTTATCATGCTATCTATCGCTGCCTCTTCCTTTCTCAACAACAATATATTTATGGAGATTTTCTAAGCTTAGCTTACATGTAGCACACGGCCACATGAAAGTATGGGCCAGCCAGTGAGGATCGAACTCACTTTTCAAACTTAATTGCTCCAGCGAAACAAGTTTGCTGATCATTACAACACGTCGTTGTGTCCATTATACTCGTATCTATGTATCTATCTCGGATTATTATCTCTTAAACTACCTGGTGGTCAGCATTTGTAGTTCATCTTTGTCTGTAAATTTCGTCTGTATTCACTGTTTTAATTATTTCATTCTATTTCTTTTCTTCGTCTCATTCTGTTTTCTTTTTGTCTATTTCTTTATTGATACAACCCTTCTTTTATTATCCTCCCTTTATTCTTTATTCCTTTATTCCTTCTCTTTATTCTTTAATCCTTAATTCCTTCATTCGTTCTCTTCATTCATTATTCCTTTATTCATTCTCTTTGTTCATTATTCTCTTTATTCATTATTTCTTTATTCATTCTCTTTATTCATCATTCCTTTATTCATTCCCTTTAATCTTTACTATTCTTTCATTCTCTCTCAGTGTATTTGTTACCTGTCAATTTTGTATCTATCTATAATAATTTCTTTCTTTTTTTTAAAATCTTAACAGCGCCTGTCATGTATTTGTCATGGAAACAGGTGATTACTTTTTTTCTTCCCAATGATTTTCTCCTAATAATCCCTTCTCTATAATTGACTACGTCTCAGCCAATTTCCCTACTTCTATAGCCTTGCTATTTACATCAATCGCCTATCTTTTCTTCCTCTGCACTCTATCCACTTCTCTCGATTAATCCGCACTTCTTTCTCTCTCACCGCGCGCATTGATATTTTCTTTGTTTATAAAGTAATAGGCAGATGTGTAAATATAATTCCCTTAAAAGTCGATATTTGACTGTTTGTTTCACGTATACTTTCTTTGTTTTTCTTTATTTCTATTCATCTTTTTCTTTTCCATATATTCCCCACTTCGTTTGGTTTTCCATTCTCTTCTATCTATCTATCTTCTATCTTCCAGATATTTCTATCCATATCTCCCCATTCTTCGACTTCTATCTATCAACTATTCTATCTATGACCATTCATCTATCTATCTATCGTCTCTATCTATCTCAGACCATTCTATCTATCTATCTATCTATCTATCTATCTATCTATCTATCTATCTATCTATCTATCTATCTCTCTCTATCTATCTATTTCATTCGTATCCGATCTATCTATCTATCTATCTATCTATCTATCTATCTATCTATGTCCATTCATCTATCTATCTATCTATCTATCTATCTATCTATTATCTCTTCTATCTATCTATCTATCTATCTATCTATCTATCTATTATCTCTGACCATTTCGCCTTTATCTATTTGAATCTATCTATCTATCTATCTATCTATCTATTTTTCTATGACATTCATATCTATCTATCTATCTATCTATCCTCATATCTATCTATCTTCTATCTATCTATCTATCTATCTATCTATCTACTCTATCTATCTATTTCCATTTCGATCTCTCATCTATCTATCTATCTATCTCTCTCTATCTATCTATTTCCCATTTCTTTCTATCTATCTTTCTATCTATCTATCTTCTATCTATCTCATTCATTTATCTATCATCTATCTATCTATCCCCCCTATCTATCTCCCCACCATTCGTATCTATTTCTATCTATTATCTTCTATCTATCTATCTATCTTCGTTCTTTCTTTTTCTCCTATTTCGCTTTTCATTTTTGAAGATTTTTCCTTTTTTCATTCCCGGGGAAATTTCCTCCCACGATGAACGTAGGATATCTCATCCCCTTCGCTTTTTCTTTTCCTTTCCCTTTTCTCCTTTCCTCCCCATCTCTCACCTTATTTTTCTTTTCTTACCCTGCATCTTTCTTTTATCTCCCACCTCTCTACATCTTTTTTTCTTCCCTTTTTTCCACTAACCTGCATCTTTCTTTCTTCTCCTACCACCTCCCTGCATCCTACCTTCTTCTTCTCTTCCTACCAACACCTTACATTTTTCATTCATCTTCTCCTCCTACCACCTTTCTGAATCTTTCATCTCCTACCCCTATCTTTCTTAATATTCATTTCCATTTTTTAGCCCTCATTTTTCACCGTTTACTGTTTTCTATTGAAAGAAAATGCAAGAAAGAGAGAGAGACAGACAGAGAGAGAGAGAGAAGAAAGAGGAATGAGATTGTGGAAAAACAACTTTATTTTTTTTTCCATATATTTTAATTCGACCAACCTCCTGCCAACTCCCAACTATTTAACCATCTTCAAATTCCTTGCATTCACCTCCTTTGTCTCTACAACCAACAATACATTTCAGGCGACAAACTGGGGCGTCTACCTTCGCAAGTTGATTACTCTGTATAGGATCTCTGAGAGAGAGAGAGAGAGCGAGCTCCGGAAATAACAAGTGGACAGGTACTTAGCAGACGTTAGCCCAGCATAGTAGGCAGAGCAATGTAATATCTTCTGCAAGGTCTGAAAATCTACAATCCTATGTTCTACAATATCGTAACGACGAAATGAACCGTTTATATACAGGAAACCTTCGGCATTTATTGATTAAATAGTTAGTGCTTCAGTCGGTTGAATTTTATAAAACATTTTTCTTAAAAGAGTTTTTTCAGGAAATTGGACTTCTCAAGAACACTGTTTGCGTTCCAAACTTTTCTTTCCAGAGATTTGTTTCTGGCAATGGGGAAAGTTAACTTGATATTTTCTAGATACATGCACTAGCCATTTTTGTTCAAGTGACGTAGTTTTCTTAGTTTTTTTATAGCTTTTTTGTTTTTTTAAACTTCGTTCCCGCAGAAAACAAGGTTTCAGAATATGATAATAATGGATTATCCTATCCTACCAATTTCCATACTAATCTCTCTCTATAAAAGGCTGTTTAACAGCTAATGATCGGTTTAGGAGAATAAAGTTTTCAAAGTTGATATTCGGCGTTGTCTATTCATTACAATATGTTAAATATGAAGGGGAAAAATCGTAACTAATTTGACCACGTTTTGGTATCACTAATATCATATGTCTTACAGTACGTGTTTGTGTGTTTGGGGTAGGGGTTTGTCTCAACAGGAAGGAGAATGCAGGTCAGCGAAATTCATTCCTATGTTTATGATGTGTCATATCAGTTTTGAAGTGTGTTGAGTTGGGGGGGGGTGAGACATCATTTTAAGAATTCGTCGTGACTGTTATACTAACATCTCCCCTAATTACTTATTAATTTTATGATAAGGGAAACATGTAAAATTATTTTATTATTAAAATTATTTTTTTTTTTTTTTTTTTTTTTTTCAGAAATTGGACTTCTCAAGTATACTAAATGTCCGCGTTCCAAACCTTTCTTTCCAGAGTTTTGTTTCTGGCAATGGGGAAAGTTAACTTGATATTTTTCTAGATATATGCACTAGCCATTCTTGTTCAAGTGACATAGTTTCTCTATTTTTTTTAGCTTTTTTGTTTGTTTAAACTTCGTGCCTGCAGAAAGCGAGATTTCAGAATATGATAATAAGGGATTATCCTATCCTACCCATTTCCATACTAATCTCTTTGTATAAAAGGCTGTTTAACAGCTAATGATCGGTTTAGGAGAATAAAGTTTTCAAAGTTGATATTCGGCGTTGTCTATTCATTACAATATGTTAAATATGAAGGGGAAATATCGTAACTAATTTGACCATGTTTTGGCATCACTGATATCATATGTTTTACAGTACGTGTTTCTGTGTTTGGGGGTGGTCTCAACAGGCAGGAGAAAGCAGGTCACCGAAATTCGTTCCTATCTTAATGATGTGTCATATCATTTTTGAAGTGTGTTGAGTTAAGCGGGTGCTGAGACATCATTTTAAGAATTCGGCATGACTGTTATACTAACATCTCCACTAATTACTTTAACGACACTTGCATAATGTTGTGTTACCTGACGACATACCCAGAAAAGTAGCCTATACCTCACTCTTGTTATAGTTCAAACAAAAAAATATATTTTGCTAGCAACCATGCCTTCTGTCTTCTTATTATGTTCATGATAAGGGAAACGTATAAAATTATTTTTTTCGTGAGTTAGAAAATGCATTTCACATGAAAGAAAATGACAATTTTTAAAACGATTTTTTTTATTTCTTTCAAAAAAAAAAAATACCGGTGACGTAAAAGTTACACACCCGGATGTTTACTGTATATTTTTCGTTCAGCTTCAGACTGTCAGTGTTTCACTCCATATAATATTCATCATCAGGACAAACTCTCCAAAAGGTTTAAAATGGTTGAAAGTTAAATGAAAAGCAGGCTGATATCTCAGAAGCATATTAAAAATATCAATGAATGAATAATGGATCAGACAGCAGTCTTTGATAAAGCCTAAAATGCTTATATATTATGTAGTATTTCAATAGAACCATACGTTGTACGCATGTTCAAATAAGTGCAACAAGATATCTTTGATAATGACGGATTATCCCATCCTACGCATTTCTATACTAATCTCACTGTATAAAAGGTTGTTTAACAACTAATGATCGGTTTTAGAGAATAAAGCTTCCAAAGTTGATATTCAGCGTTGTCTATTTATTACACAGGTTTTCTTTTTCTATTGACACCGCAATTACTTTATACTAAGAGCACCGTGCCCCGTTAATATTTATTTACAAACCACAAAACAGAGTGTTCAAAGTTTTGAGCGTACCCCCTAGTTCAGACTACTGATCATACTGTAGCGAGAGTGTTACCAATATTGTAAGGGTGTGTACTACATATAATTTAACTAGGAAAGGTGGGATTAAGGACAATGCGTGGATGCAATGCAATTTATATTTGACGTAAATAGCACATAGTATAAAATACAAAACTGAACGTAATGATTTCAAAACATAACAATTGAATTTATTAAGTATTTAATGTACATGCATGTGAACTAAAAAGTTTAGACAAGGTTGTGTCTCTTAGACTAGGTAATATTTGTACCTAAGCTCATAAAGAAGAAGTTAATCATTAAACTGTAGAAGAATGAGTTTTACATGTTTGGAATTGTGTATTGTACAAGTTGCAAAAAGTTCAGAAGAGATTTCAGAGTTCGTACTAGCGTGAATATTGATAATGGTCTTTAACGTCTGACTACACTAGTCAAGACGGGAGTTCTTGAAGATTACATCTTGGTAGCAAGGAGAAAGATGATTGAAAAGAAAACACGAGGGAGCTTAAACGTGTTTTGTTTATATAAGATCGTGTATCACGTGGGAGGCTCCGACCATATTGAGAGGGAAAAAAGATTTGTCGCGTGAAGGTGGTTTGAATTGGTCAGATCTGACCAATCAGCGAGCTAGTTTTGTAGGAGATTGACTAATGAATGTTTGTCTATGTACTGTGTTTATGTAATGTAGTAGTGGTTAGCACAATACCAGATGATGGACTCACTTCCAGAAATTAACTAACCTCCGCTCAGCATAGTGGCACAATAAATCACCGGTGGGCTCTGTGGGTGCAGAAAAGCAAATGCGACTGAACAGGCAACTGCAACAGGGATTAGCTAAACATTCTAACATGGAAAACCGATAGACGAACGTTATATGAGATATATTTTTTATATAATAAGAACAATTCACTACGACGAAAATGTCCAGAGAGTGCCTTGATCGCAAGGGTCATTCAAGGTAAATTTATGCCCTGGCTCTTACAACATTTTACTATTCCTGACAGAACTTTTATTTTCATAGTGCTGGACATCTAATAATAAAAGTGATTAAAAAAAAAAGAAATTAACTAGATTAAAAAAAATAACAATTCCGGGCATCACTCGTTTGTGTGCATGTGTAGACTCACCAACATAACAAATTTAGTCCGATGACGTCCTAAAGAACAGAACGTGTCACAAAACTTCTTCCACTTTGTCATACATTAAGCCCTATATATATATATATATATATATATATATACACACAAAATAGGAAATTATATTTGGTAGGGTATATTCCAAACATAAATTTTCGTCTATATGAGAGCTCAGTGTATGATACAAATTTTAAGAATACTTAGGAAAAAACCTCAAAAATCCAGTCAGTAATAAATATCGATGAATATTACTATCATTTTATAAAATCCTAAGCATTTCATAAATATAGTCGGTCTGCTGGCTACATTTTATTAACTGCTTTCATAAAATGTAGTCGGGCTGATATCGTTATATTCATCGAAATAAATTTATTACTAACAATGGATTTTTAAAGTTTTTTTCCCCCGAATTATTATTATTATATATGTATGTTGGACTCTCCCGTCGTATTTGACGTATGAGGGTCAAGCAGCTCAGTTCCTAGGAAACAACAGCCAGACACCTGCACATATGATTTGATTATAGTGGTGAAAGCTTTGTGCGGAACCAAGGACACATTTTGAAGGGCTGAATACAGAGACCTGGTGCACTATGTGCCACAATATCACCAAACGACTCTCCTCAGGTTTTGAATTCAGAATTGTCTTTCTCTTAGACCAGTTGCCATCCAAGTCCAGTCTCTCCTGCTATTTACTCAGGGCGAAGAAGTGGATAAATAACTTTCCCAAGGGTATTAGCACGTAAGTGAATGTAATGGATTCGACTGGAATTAGAACTCAGCTCTCCATTTCTCAATCCGTTCCCGCTATCCATTACATCACCGTGCATATATATATATATATATATATATATATATATATATATATATATATATATATATATATATATATATATATATATATATATATATATCTGTATTAACAAAGTATTTAACACATTGGTTTTTCTTACATATCTCAAAAATAACAGATCAATTTCAACGAAATTTATAGGAAATATTTAAACGAACATTGTCAATCAAAACATAGAAGGAAAATTTAAAACCACTGTTTTGAGAAAAATTATTAACAATAAATAAAATAACCCATATGCAAAAGTATTTAACACACTTTACTAATATTTAGTACAGTAGCCTCTGTTCTGCTTCACAGCCTCAGTCGTTTCTCGTAGTCTTCAACTAGTTTCTTGTAGGTACTTGTTGGTATTTTTTGACCCATTCTTCTTCACAAATTTTCTTCAATTTGTTTTAAATTCGATGGATTTCTTTTATGAACTCGTAACTACAATAGTTTCCACAAATTTTCGATTGGATTTAAATCCGGTGACTGGCTTGGCCATTCCAGGACATTAATGTCATTATTATTAAACCAATTCTTAGTTGTTTTAGCAGTATGCTTCGGTTCATTGTCTTGCTGAAATACAAAATAACGACCATGTTCCAAAGATGTGGCACTGTTCAAGAGTTGAGTTGACTAAATTTGAGTGTATTTTGCAGCATCCATTGTTCCTTCGATGATTTTCGTTTTTCCTACTCCATTTCAGGAAAAACAACCGCACATCATAATATTTCTACCCCCATGTTTGACTGTAGGGATGGTATTTGCTGGCTCGTATTCCGCTCCTTTTTTCCTCCATACATGAGTGCGCATGTTTCGTCCGTAAAGCTCAATTTTCGTTTCATCTGACCAAATTACTTTCTCCCAGAAATCATTAGATTCAATTTCATATTTTTTTACAAAATTCCAACGGACTTGTACATGTCGGCGTTTCAGTAATGGAGTCTTTCTCGGTGATCTTGAAGTGAGACCTGCACGATTCAGTGATCTTTTAATTGTATCTTTACTAACTTCAATTCCGGCATTTTTCAAATCATTCTGAATTTCTCGACGGGCTGAAAATGGATTTTTCTTCACAGTACGGGAAATGTATCGCTCATTAGCCTCATTTATGATAGGGGACGACCACTCCTTTGAATGTTTTCAATAGTATCGCATTTTTTCCATTTTCGAACAACAGCACCAACTGTACTCACAAGCAAATTCAAATCTTGAGCGATTTTTCTATATCCCTTACCATTTTTGTGATTCTTTATGATCTTGCACATGTCGTTCGACAATTCTTTTGTTTTCACCATTTTCTTGCAGTAGTGGCAACAGAATAGCTGCAGTGTCTCAGAGCTGTTATCTAATAGCCAGTTGAGTGCCGTGCAGTGCTGTTATTGGTCGTCATAACACATCATATCAATATGGGTAGGAATCATGACGACACGTCTCTTCTAGCATAATATTTGTATTGGTGTTAAATACTTTTGCATATGGGTTATTTTATTTATTGTTAATAAATGTTTCTCAAAACAGTGGTTTTAAATTTTCCTTCTGTTTTGATTGACAATGTTCGTTTAAATATTTCCTATAAGTTTCGTTGAAATTGGTCTGTTATTTTTTTTGAGATATAAGAAAAACCAATGTGGTAAATACTTTTGCTACCCACTGTATATATATATATATATATATATATATATATATATATATATATATATATATATATATATATATATATATATATATATATATATATATATATATATATATATATATATATATATATATATATATATATATATATAATATCATATATATATATATATATATATATATATTTATCATATATATATAATTTTGATTTATTCATGTATTAATGAATATTATATATAATGATTCTAATACATTATATTCCATTAATTAAATACACTAATCTCTCTTAAACGATTAATAAAAATAATTTTTCAAAAGACTAAAACAAAAAATAACTTACATCTGTATAATCTACCGTCCTGATGATGACAAATTGAACGTCCAAAAATACAAAATTCCATCCTTCCTACATATTAAAATATGGATTATTTCTTTATGTATTTTCATCTAATGTAAAAACTGCTGCACAAGTCTTGGTCATTGATGAAGCCTCTGTGGTGTGGTGAGATGATCACACTCTACACACTTTTCTTTCAAGCACTTTTATAAAGTGAGAAAGAGCGGTCTAATTCACCTCATAGATCACTAAATCAGAATTTTTCTTCTGTCTAAGGTAACCAGTAACAACACTGAAGATACAGATAAAACAATAACATTTTCTATAAAAATCAAATGCACGGTAACTATAAACAGGATGATTTTTTTCTGAGAAAATATTACAAATAAATATAACCTCAACTCGAGAAAAACAAGAAACTTATATTATCTCCTATAAAAAAAATTAAAATTTCTAACCTCATCATCGACAACAATAACTCAACTACAACATCAAAATTACAGAGAAACAATATTATTTATTAATTCGTATCTACTTCAAATTCACGAATAATTATATTGTATATACTAGTACATGCCTAACTATAAGACTCACGTTACATCTTTCTGACCATAGCTCAATTAGGTCTTATGGGGACCTACTAATTTCTGTCCGTAACATACTTGTAGAAAATCCAAATATAATAAGACCATCCAAATGTAAAGAAAGACTAAAGATAATGGAAGCCCTAATAATAAAAAGAAAAGAAAAAGCCAATATTTAATAACATTAACTATGAACAAGGCCACTGTGTACTGACCGTGGAAAAAACATTCGTATAAACCAACACATACACAAATCAATCCATACATTTATTGATTATGGCAAATAGAATAGCCAAAAGCACTCGGATTTACAGAACAGTCAAATAATTTCTATAATTCATGTCTAGAAATGAATAAAATATAACACAAGAAAAATGAAACAAAAAAATTAATCCTGTATCTTGTCAGTCGTTTTTAACGAAATATGTATAAAAGAGGAACTGCTGCCCAGGTGTACAATTATACATAGATATAATGTGTGTACGTGTGTGTCTAAAAATTGAGACAGAGTATATCTGTAAAAGAACAATACGAATAAAGACAAAAAGAAAAACTTATCTAAACCCACGCGTTACATTATTGGGGGATTTTTATAAAAAAAAGTGCAAGGATTTTATTTGGTTAGAAATATTTATATACAAGAGCAAATAAGTTATTAGTCTTAAAAACAAAAAAAAAATAATCCTGATTACATTTGAAACAGTTTGTTTAATCTTGAAAAATGAATACAATCAAACGAATTGACCAACATAAGACATATTGATAAAAAAAACTTCACTAGTTGAATGAAAATAAAATAGCAAAACGAGACAATATTCCAGAACAGGAGATCTTATTATATTTGGATTTTCTACAAGTATGTTACGGACAGAAATTAGTAGGTCCCCATAAGACCTAATTGAGCTATGGTCAGAAAGATGTAACGTGAGTCCAGAACAGGAGCAGGCTAACATTTTGACACAACTACAAAAAAAAAAAAAACATAAAAAAAAACACTAAGCTAAGTAAGTTTCTTTTCTCCAGGTGTTCAGCTAAGACATTTAGGCATCTTGTCACCATTTGCCGCAAGAATAACTGAAAAAACCTTTGAGTTATTCGGCTAAAAATCGTCTTGTGTCACCCCAATATCTCCAACTGAGCAACGATTAGAGAAAAAGATCATTCAGGCCTTCAATAATGGTACCAACATCCATATTCTGGATATTTCTACTAATCTACATATCAGTCCATTTGTGGGTAACTAAATGAGAAAATAGGGAAAAAATTTCTCCAGTTTTATGCGTCTTATCCCTCGAAAGACTGTTTCAGTTTATAATGATTTTATATAGGAAAGACACCATCGATAAAAGTATTAGTTTCAAGGGACAAAAGGCATTCAATCTCTCTCTCTCTCTCTCTCTCTCTCTCTCTCTCTCTCTCTCTCTCTCTGAAGAGTGGGTGAGTGGAAAGGAAAATGTCTGAAGAGAGCTGCGGAAAGGAAAATTACAGAGAGAGAGAGAAGGAAGAGAGAGAATTAGGAAGAGGTAAAGATTAAAAAAGAAAGGAGGGTTCATTGGAGAGAGAGAAAGTGAAATGAAGGGAGGAAGGACGAGGGAGGGGAAAGAGAAGAAGGAAGAGGATATAGAGAGAAAGTTAATGTGAGAAGAGGTAGGATATGGAGAGATGGGGAAATCCTTGTTAATGGGGAGGGGAGAGGAATAGGGATGAGGAGAGAGAGGAAGGTGAGGGGAGAGAGAGAGTGGAAGCTGAAAAGCAAGAGAGAGAGTTCAATGAGGAGGAGGAGAAGGTTAAGGGTGAGAGAGAAGAAGGTTAAAGGTGAGAGAGAGGATATTGAGGGAGAGAGGAGGAGGGGAGGAGAGAGAAAGTGTGAGATGAATTGTGTGGGATTTTTAGAGGGAAGGGAAGGAGAGAGACAGAAGAAGGAGAGAAGAGAGAGAAAAAAGGAACAGGGGGGGGGGAATTTGAAAAAAGGAAAAGGGGAAAATGAAAAAGTTCAAGAGAGCTAAAGGAATTATATATATATATATATATATATATATATATATATATATATATATATATGCGTACAGATCTTCAAATAGATTGGCATCTCGAGCATTCATTCCAATACCCACAACTGTTTCCTTTCTGCCTCTGGATAAGATTGACGCTATTTTAACTGACGCTGGGGGCTCCATTATTTGAGCCTATTACAAAGCTGCATACAATTATTGTTTCAACGTTATCTAGAATAGACATTGAAGAGCAAAACAATAGATACATTCATATATATATATATATATATATATATATATATATATATATATATATATATATATATATATATATATATATATTCCAACAACTTCGTCGTACAAATAAAGAAAGTCTCAAGAAAACTTTACAAAAATCAAAAGCGGTATTAAGTAAATGTCGTTCATTTTGATTTCTACTCATGCGCAGCGCAGCAAACGGTCGTTACGTATTTGTTTGTCTATTTTATATAAGAATGATTAGAAATACTTCTTGTGTTTCAGCGAGATAGTTATTTATTGACCACTGCACATTTTCTTTCCAACTTACTGTGTAAGGAATTAACTCTTATTATATTTGAAACATTTTGTTTAATATTGAAACAATGTAAACAGTCAAACCAATTGACCAACATAAGACATATCGATAAAGAAAACTTCACCAGTTAAATGAAAATAAAATAGCAAAACGAGACAATATTCCAGAACAGGAGCAGGCTAACATCCGGCCGGCCAAAGATTTAATGTGGCTTTTTGTTACTTTTATAATATTTACAAACAGAGAGAAAGAGAGAGAGGGCAAGGGAAAGAGACAGAGAGTGAGAGAGAGTGAGAAGGCGAGGGAAGGAGACAGAGAGAGATCGCGAGTGAAGGAGACACAGAGAGAGGGCGAGGGAAAGAGACAGAGAGTGAGAGAGAGAAGGCGAGGGAAGGAGACAGACAGAGAGAGAGAATGCGAGGGAAGGAGACAGAGAAAGAGAGCGGGCGAGGGAAAGAGACAGACAAAGAGGGTGAGGGAAAGAGACAGACAAAGAGGGCGAGGGTGAGGGAAGTAGACAAACATAGACAGAAGGAGAGTGAGGGAAGGAGACAGACAGAGAGAGAGGGAGGGTGAGGTAAGGAGAGAGTGTCCGAAAAAAGACAGACAGAGAGAGAGGGAGGGTGAGGTAAGGAGACAGAGTGAGGGAGAGAGATGAAGTGAAGGAGACAGACTGAGACGGAGAGTGAAGGAGACAGACAGAGAAGGCTTGTTTTAAGGAACCTATCTATTTTATATTATTGGGAAGGAGATAGACAGAGGGAAGGAAAAGATATATAGACATAAATATATAGAGAGAGAGAGAGAGATTCCAAAATGAAAGATGAAACAACAGCAGAAATTTCTCTTTTCATTCAATTATATATATCTGATATATATATATATATATATATATATAATTATTAATTTAAAAACATTTATAACATAAATATGTTATAAAATCTCTATAAAAATAGCCATTAATTTTTAAAAAATTTATAACATAAATATGTTATAAAACCACTACAAAAATAGCCATTTTATATATTATTAATGTATTAATAACTAGATTTCCTTCCCAAAGTCCTCGTCCTTGTGGGAAATAAAACAACTACAGAATCCATTTCAAAAGTTTTCAAAAAATATTCTCTAGTTAGGATCAAAAGCAATAATTCTAAACTGGAACCATGTAATTGTTCACCAAACAGGTGATTTTGCATTTTGCTTATCAAACAAATAGATATCTATATGGATATTAACGTACCTGAATATTTTAAAATCTTATGCAGACTGCAGCAGGTGACCAGATATACGCTAAAATTGTACAAGTGGAATGATACATTTGTTAAATATTAAGTTTATTTAAATATCATTCTAAGATAAAATTCTTTAATAAAATATATGCACTTTAAAATAAACACACACACACACACACATAGATATATATATATATATATATATATATATATATATATATATATATATATATATATATATATATATATATATATATATATATATATATATATATAAATAAATATTCTTGAAAAATTGTATTTTTTATAAATGCAAAAGCCTTAACTAAAACAAATTTTGATAAATTATACGTCTAAAGATACATTTTATTAAAAAAATAGTAATAAACTTAATTAATTCTTATTCTAATATAAATTAATGCATTTTTTTTCATTTTAACTGATGAAAAAAGTATTCGTACAAAACAAAAAAAAGCATATTAACTTAATTTAATACTTTGTGTAATATCCTTTATTGAGTCCAGTCTATTCCTGTTCGTCTCAACTAATGATTTGCACACATTGAGTGCTATTTTGTCCCATTCTTCTTGGCATATTGTCTTCAAATTCTTGATATTTGTTGGTGCTCTTTTCCCAATTTAAATTTTCAAATATCGTCATAAATTCTCGATTGGGTTCAAGTCTGGGGACTGACTTGGCCACTGCAAGATATCAACGTTACTTTCAGCTAACCATTTCCTTGTAGATCTATCGGTATGCTTAGCATCATTATCCATTTGGAAAACCCAATCAGGAGGTAGCCAAAGTGTCTCAACAGAACGCATTAAATTGTCTTGCAGGATCTATTATTGATATTCTGCCAACACCTTTTGAAGAAAAACAGCCCTAGTTCATGATACTGCCACCACCAAACTTTACAGTTAGCAACGTGTTCTTTGGTAAGTAGGCTTCACCGTCCTTCCTCCACACATGATTTCGATAATTATGACCAAACAACTCTATTTTAGTTTCATCTGTCCATAGTAATTTTTCCCGAAATGAATATTCTTTATCCTTATGCTCTTTCAACGAATTTTAGCCTAGCTTCTCTGTGTCGTTTCAAGAGGAGTAGAGTCTTCCTTGAGATGCGCGATTTCACACTGTTTTTTTTGTAGTTCATTACTTATTGAATGCTTGGTTACTTTAATCCCTAATGCACGCAGATGTTTCTGCAGCTCTTCTCGGGTAACCTGTGGATTTTGTTGGATCTGGCGTCCTAATATCCTTGCTGATCTTAAAGAAATCTTCCTCGGGGCACCTGTTCGTCTATGATTTTCGACGCTGTTACGTGTTTTAAACCTTGCAATGAACGAAGCATTTGTAGTAAAAGGAATATTCAGGTTGTTAGAAATCGTTCTGTAACTGTTCCCATCTTTCCAAAGAGACAAAAATGTGTTGTTTTTGTGAAATAGTCAATTCTTTACCTTTCGGCATTATTAGAACCTTCTCGTAAGTCTAGAAATTGCAGAATGCTCTGATAATGGCTAATAGCGTTTACTATAATTACTGATAACATTACTGGAACATTCTAAAATATATTTTTTCATAATTAATTGATTATTTTATTTTAATAATTGCTTTGTACGAATAATTTTTTCAGCAGTTAGAATCTAAAAAGTGCATTAATTTCTGTTAGAATGAGAATTAATTAAGTTTATTATTATTTTTAATACTATGTGTCATTATACATAAAATGTGCCGAGATTTGTTTTATTTAAAGGCTTTTACATTTATAAAAAATACAATTTTTCAAGTGTACGAATATTTATTTCACCCACTGTATATATATATATATATATATATATATATATATATATATATATATGTATGTAATATATATATAAGCTCAATATATATATATATATAT